CTACATGAACAAAAGCTTGAAAGTTTCTATGTCAACATGATGCTGATGCTGACAAATTATTTTTTTTTTACCTAAAACTTGATAAGCCATATCGCCACCTGTTATTTTATGTAAATTTATGTGACTGCAAATTACATATTTTTTCGAAGAAAATAATCATACAAAAATATATGTTCATTCTCGAAGATAAAAGAGTTCCTATAGTTTCTTCTAGAATCGGATACTCTGCGCAGACCTTTCTAATACTGCTGCAGTGAACAATGTAATAACGGAAGATCAGTATTTTATTCCCTTGATGGATCTGGCATTGGAAAGGTTGGTATAAATCCAATTAAAAGTGCTAAAATATTGTCAAAAAAGTACTACATGCTATGACATGAATGTGAATTATGGTCCAACTTGAGCCAGTCACAGGTACATGATATAGAAGCTGCAAGAAGGATTATAGGTTTTGATCAGCGCTCATCTACCGAGACAACAATTAGTAGTCTTGGACTGTGGTCAGTAGAGGGATATGTAGATAAAATCTAATTAGGTTTGTTCCATAAAATCTGCAGAGCTAATGGTTCACTAGCATGTAAAATTATATTCAGAACAATTCTTGACTTCCTGATTCACGAGATCTAGAGCGTTGGTTTTGTTAAAGATATATATCGCGTTCTTTTGAAATACCAGCTTGAGTCTTGAACTGTGGTCAGTTGAGGGATATGTAGATAAAATTAAGTTTGTTCAATAAAATCTGCAGAGCTGATGGTTCACTAGCATGTAAAATTATATTCAACAGAACAATTCTTGACTTCCTGATACACAAGAGCGAGAGCGTTGGTTTTGTTAAAGATATATATCGCATTCTTTTGAAATACCCGCTTGAGGTTTGTTCCACCTATATTCTGTCCCAAAACCAGTCTTGAGGAGGAATATTTAAACGGCAGTTCACTGCTGCGAAGAATAATTGTGGAGATATAAACTTGAAATGAGACTTAAACTTTAACATTGTACAAGTGTCCTTACTAATCTTCAACCACTTGCTGTCTGGAAGTTTGTTAAATGTTTTCCTGATAAAATTTGGACTTCCGCTAACATTGCCTATTTAACAATGTGTTCAATTTCATACGAGAATGCATATAACTGTAAAATCTGCAAAAGATTCACTTCAGACAGCCAAGTATATGTTACAACTATACTGTCAAGCCCTAACCGATGAACTAACATTGCGTTTGAAAGAATAATAGATGCAATAGACATACTAGCCTCACACTGGCTTTTTGGCAGAATAATGACTCATTACTTCATATCCTTTCGGTGTAAATTAAAGGATGGATGACTTATTAATTATATTTGGACAATTAGGAATCGGTTGAAATTTAACGATTCATGATTGGTTCATTATAATTCTTTCATGTTCGACATTTGTCTCTCTGTCTTTTTTTGCCTCAGAATTGTAAAAAGGTTGGAGAAAAAAAAACTATGCAGACAAGGGCGTTGTAAGTATAGTTTTCTAACTACTACAGCTCAAGTTTTTCCAGTTGAAACACCCTTTCTTTTCAGCAATACTACTTTAGAAGATTTTCTCATGATGGACGAGGCCATCCGGGCACTTCAAACATACTCTTCAGTGAACAAATCCAATTGTATGTAAAAACACAAAACAAAACAAAACAAAAAAAAACACCCCCCCCCAAAAAAACCAACCCAAGAATAACATAGGTACTTCAGAAAAGTACCTATGAACGAGAGCGAAATTACACTAAATTTTGTTTCTTTGTTTCACGTCCATGAACTGAATCCTTAAAAATGATTTTTCGGAGAAAGAGCCAATATAAACTGCAGGTAATACTACATCTAGAACTTAGTATTGGTCGTTTTATCAAAAACGTAGTCGATTAGTCATTACAATTTGAGAAATCACAATTTCAGAAGAAGAAAAACAAGTAAAAAAAACTAAACATAAAAAGCCAATGTTAAAATATTGTAATATCAGCTTTTAAAAATTTCGCCTTTTTTGACACATGTGATCTTTAATGAATTTAATTTCTCTTTCGATTGTTCAGATATGGATATTTGCATTATACAGTATGCATAGTCACGTGTTAATTAGTAAATGTTTGTTTCTAAATATAAATTTATATTCCTGTGATCTGAATTATGCCTAGCATAAAAATAAATGAATATTACTCTATATTTTGTCAATCATTGTTTGGGTTGATGCTATCAAATTTGTTTATTTTCTCCTAAAATAAAACAATATCAATTCAATTATTATGATAATTGCCAATTATTAATATTTTATAGTGTATAGTATCCGTTAGCTTTTCATTCTTTTGTACAATGTCAAAATTGTGTACACCGATGTGGATGAATGAAATTGCATGTGATGACGATATTATGTATATTTTTATGCTTTGCAACCTTAGGCAATTACTATCTTTGTGATTTAATTAATCCATTTAACTGGATATGTATTCATTCATATCTGTATTTGATGTGCTCCAAAAATTGTTACATGCATGTGGTATTTTTTTATTTGACAAAATACTTGGCAATGTGTTCACTGTATGACCTTTACAGCAAGATTGA